CATCTTATCTTGACTAGAAAAGTCTCCTCTTGAAGTGACTAGAGGGGCAATTTAGTATAATGAAACTTATTAAGATAAGATAAGATGTTGATTGACTTAGCCAAAGCCTTACAAATTGATTCCCATTTTTTTCAAAATATATTTTTCTTTCTTTTCTTTCAACTACAAATTCTTCAATAAAGTAATATTACAAGCAAACTCAAAAAATTTCCTTATTTTTTAATCATATAGTTTTCATCAATCTACTAATTTAAATGCATTTTTCACCTTTTAATGGAGCTCAAACATGCTCTATATAAGAAATCATCTTGCAAACATGTGTTTGTACAATGCTTAGGTTGTAATTCTGTTACTAAAATACAATCTAGGAAAAAGAATTATAACTAAATTCGCCATGCTTTTGCTGCAACCGTACTTCTTTCTAGCAATGCTGCTAATTTTTGTCTCAAAATCAGTTTCTACACAAAAATAATTTCCCAGTAGCTAAGCCCAACTGCACTTATCATTGTGGAGATGTAAGTCTCAAAACCATACAAGTTCAAAAAATCTAAAATGTCATTCTCATAATTTACAAAGTAGATTAGACAAATGGGAGAAGGCATTGCTGACAAAGCTATTGTCTGTCAAATAACGTTATAGAAGCCTCCTAAAAGTAGTGGCGGACGCAGCATTTTGAGTCAGTGGCACAATCAAACTTGCAAAAATGTTGTGAGAAAATTAAAGCATTCGATAGTTTATTACAATTATTTTCTACGCGTTCTCATACTACAATTCGGAAGCTTTGTTTACTTCATGAACTGCAATTCATTTGCTAAAATTAGAAAGTTTTGACTGCAACATATAGTTCAGTGTCATCTCTAATAATTTTTTCATCAAAACTTTGATGCCATTTCGTACAAAACAAATTGGCACACTCACAAAAACACTCCAAGAGAACAAGTTTATTTTCTTGAACAAATTAGTTTTTATTTAGCATACTTTCTCTTACAAGTGTTTCGATCTTTTTATCAACAGAAATTTATACTTGTATAGAGAAAATTTTATTTAATGTGCACACACAAATCCAACATATAATTCATGTAACATTCTAGATGAATTTATGCACTCGAGATCTAATAAATTTTATGTGTATTGTGAATTCTATTAATATAATAGATTCATGATCCTTCTTCTAGAATCAATGGTAGATAGATTATCAATGTTCAATGTATCATCTTTAACATTCATAGCCTTTGTTGAACTCCATTATTTGAAAAAAAATTAATTTTGGAATAGTGTTTTTTGGATAATGAGTGGTTAAAAAGTAAGGAGAATTTTTGGGTTTATGTGTAATATTATTTATTGTGAGAATGTGTGATTAATAAGAGAAGAAAGAAAAATCAATTAAAATTTAATGGGGGTCAAACATGGGCATGAAATGTTTAGATAAACTTCCGACATGGTCAATTTCAGAAGATATCAAGAGGTAAACTTTCAATCTAAATACAATCAGCTTTAAAAATAAAAAATTGCCGGCAAAAGATTTTAAACTGAGCAAATATGGCTGATAAATCATAGATTCCCAAATATATATGCATTACTTGACCAAATGACTGAAAAAAATCATATATTACACAAAATTACATGATTATATGCCCCTATCAAAACAATACTTTCATGTATAGAGCGAATATTGGAATTAATAAAATATTATGCCTCAAGAGTAATGAAAAAAAAAATCAACTTTCAGAAAATCGGTGGGTTGGGTCCGCCCATGCCTAGAAGGGATTGAGCCTCATTCTTTGACTTGGCTTTTTATCATCCCACGCTAATTTCTTAATTATTTTCCCACCTCAACAATTACCAACTAAAGTTTTGAAACGAAAATACTGCATTGCATATTTTGTGAACTAATTTGGTAATGTCATCGAAAGGTCCCATGCATAAATTGGTAGGCTCGGAGTCTTGCAATAGCATTAGTTATGGCACATACCTTTTCCATTGTGAAAACCATAGAAAATGTCATA